AGCTTAAAGCAGGTTCACCTATTAAACAGTCGACTTTTAAGATGAAGTTTAAACCCTCAAACAATCTCATCTATTTAAAACTGCTACTTTCACACTGCACACACACGAACAGTTTGAGACTTCCATCTTGTATTAGGGATTCACTAGATTATGTGGAGCATATTTTTGCTGAGCTTTAAGTGTAATCTTAAAAAACATAAAACAACTTTTCACCCTTGGAGTTTTTTCTGCTCACTTTCTTATCATAACGTAATGTGAACTTAAAGAAAATTTATCAGACAAGGTGAATGAAGACAGAAAAAGGTGAAAGAAGAGAGAAACCGGATGAATAAATCCAAAGAATGCAATACATAAATTCCTTCTAATTGGCAATTCATTTGAAGGACTTCTGGACTTGACCGTCCCCAGGTTAACACGTTTCCATTAGAAACGTACCACTGAACGATTAGTCTTACAGAAACTGAGCAAGAATTGCTGAGACAAAACCAGAATTTTCTTGGTATAGTTTTTTTTTTATTCATGAAACAGACGGAAGTCCTATTTCCTTGAGAGATAGTAAGAAACAGCTCAAAGACAATATTCTCCTCCAGAAACTCTGCAGATATTTCAGGAGAACCTGGGGGGATCCAGGTCAAGGAAAGTCACAGCTGGGGAGAAGTCAAAGTCCTCACTGGTTAAAATACACACCAAAATAGGAAAAAAAAAAACAACCAAAAATCAAAACCCTGTAGAAACGAAGTTATAGGATGAAAATGAGGGATGCTTGAGGATGCATCAAGCCAAAAGCCCTGCAAGATCCATTTGTCCTCAGAAAAAGGTGGATGCGGGCAAATAACCCAGTGGAGAAAGCGGAGCATGTCATCGCACTTTGGGTGCTCTCCCGGGCTTTGCTGCACTGCAGGGCCAGGGCGCCTTCGGGCGCCAGGGCTGGGGCACGCTGGGGCCACGGCCCAGCTCCTCGTCAGTCAGCCTGAGGAGTGGCATCCTGTGCTTTCTGCAGAAGGAGACCAAATGGGGGCAAAGGACAGAGCAGCACCATGCTCCCGCAGGAGGGGACCCGGCCGGGGAACCCACCTGCCTGCAACTCAGCATCATCCTGGCTTGTGGCAGGAGAACGGGGCAAGACACAACAGCTCTGTGCCCAGAGGCAGCTGGCTTTCTTCTCAGGTCTCACATATCTCGTTATTTTTTGACCTGGAAAGCCCCAGCCAGAAGTCCCCCATCTTCCAGCCAGGCCATGCACTCTGAACAATTTATCTGACCATTAACCTTCATTTGATACAGATAATTTCCACGCTCAAGAGTATCAAAGCAGAGCACTTAACCCTCAAGCATCTTCAGCAGATGCCGGGGGTACAGAAGGCTGCAAGTACTGCTTTTTTACTTTCATCCTGGTTGCCGTGTATCTGTGGCCCCAAACAGCCTGGCTGTGACGCCTAACGAGTGAGGCTTGCTATACTTGCTATGTGCTACTCAAAAAGACATTCAACTCCATGCAAAATTACGCGCTCAGTGTAACCATCATTAGTGAAATTTCAAACTGTGAGTGTATCGGTGTCTGTCTTCTGCCAGTGCGTGATGCCCCTTTAAACAACTTGTCCCTAAAGAAACTACTCAAATCACTCCGCTCTGCTATGTTAGGAAGCCCCCCATGAAAACCCACCGCTCAGCCCAGCTCTGTGTTGCCAGTTAAAGGGTGTGTCAAATAGACATGACAGGTCTGCATTTCTCTCCTCTGCACACCTTTATCGTAAAAACAAGAGTAGGAGCAGTAAAGCAGAACGGTGCTGATGAAACGAAACAAAGCACAGGGAATTAAAGTGCTTTTCAGAAACAGATTTACTGTAAATCCCGGCCAGCAAGGCACGTATACCCACATTGTACTAAAATGTATGCTGTGATTAGATTGTGTGTGATAAAAGGGTTTTCAGCAAGACAGGGTATTATTTGTCTTACTGCGGATGTATAATTGTTCTAGTGAAGCATCCATTCTAATGGCCTTATTCTTTCTCTTTCATTTTCTTTTTTTAAGAGAATTTTTGTTCTCTGAAGCTTTTTGTTTCTCCATTATGACTTCCCATCCCTCTTTAGAGAAAGAGTGAGACCTCGATTCACAATGGCACAGAAAGGCTCAAGAAGGACTTGGGTTCCCAAACACCCCCGTGAATGCAGGCCCTGCTGTCCCTTTGGCCACTTCCAGAACATTAAACCGAGACTTCTGGAGGGCCAGACCCATAGGATAGTGTGCTCAAAGCACCTGAAAAGCTTGCTACCCAGCCACTCGCTAGCATCGCTCTTGACCTGACTGATGACATTTTTACTTCTGCAACTAGAAACCTGCTCCTACAAACCTGTATTTACAGCAGTCCAGTTCAGATTTAAGTTTATTAGCTATCCACTGTAAGACTTTTTGATAGTCTTTGGTGCTTTGGCTTAAGGAAGAAAAGGAAAATTTTTCTATTCCAGCTTTCCTGAGCCCAGGCATTGCTAACGCAGGGAGGGGATACCCCCAGGACTACGCAGCCTCCTCTGCGTACCAGTGCCATCCGTCGCCAGCTGCAGTGAAAGGTTTTTACACGCTGGCCAAGCCGAGATGGTGATGCTGAGCACAGAGGAGGAGAGCTGCGTTGGGCTTGTGCCTCTCTGGCTGGTTGACCACGTGTTATTATTATTCATACCGTGGCAGCTGCGAAGCAGAACAACCGGGAGAAGGTTCTCAGCAACCCTGCCCCAGGCCTGCAGCTCTAGCACTGACGTCTAAGGCCGTGACCATTTGGTCACTGTAGGTTTCACTTTCTTCAGCTGTAAAATTAACATAATTCTCCCCCTCCTTTAAGAGCACTGCAAAGCTTGGCAACCCGTGCGAGCGGCAGGAGCCTTTGACCATAAGCCAGGCACACGGTAACATGTGAGCTGCCCCCAGGGACAGCGTCAGATGAAGCAAGCGCCCAAGAGCTCTGCTTCATCGGAGCTAGAGGCCGGGCCTCCCGCCACCTAACTGCAGCCAAGCCACCGAAATACTTGAGCTAGGAACGCAGACGCTCTCGACTCTTCTGCAGCCAACGGAAAGAGACACACACGCACTCACAGAGCAAACCTACCTGCCTGTTTTTCTGCTCTGACTAGAAAGGAAACTCTGCCTGCCACGCTCCTAGCGGAGGTTACGGGGTTACGCAGGCTTCGCTGGGTGGGACAGACCCAGCACGGAGCTCAGCACTAGCCTGAATCCAACAACTGGCTCTTTGGTTTGGGCTCAAACTGAAAATAATGCAAAAATAACAAATCATTTTGCATTGATCTAAACACATTTTTGCATTCACTATATGCATTTTTTTTATAAACTCCAGCAGCAGCAAAACTATCAGTTTCAAAACAAAGCTGTAAGTTGCAAATAAAATGATGAAATGCTTAGGTTTAGAAAGACATAGATAAAACATTCTTAAAAAGACTTCTTTTTTTAAAACAGATCAACTATTACGACCTGACCTCAAAATGCATTTTCGCAGGGAATTTTTACCCTTGGAAGACAGCTTCACTTCCTTCTCCTCAACACCCTTTGCAAGTGAATCCTCACTTTTCTCCTTCTCCCTCCCTCACGTGATGGTGCTTTTCTCTTGCCTCTCACGGCAATCAAAGCAGTTTCACATCTCTGGCCCAGCAAACGCTTGCTTTCTTTTGCCCTCCTCTGTTTTCGCTTGCTTTCCCCCCGCAGAACCGCTGCCCGTCCCCTGCGCCCTGCGCCGCTGCTCCTCTCCAGACCGCCAGGAAGGGAACACGGCCGTATTCTCCGCTTCCTAGGAGATCGGCTCCAGTAAATTGCTAGTTAAGTGACTACGCGTAACTCCAGCCGCCGACTGCTGAGAGACCTCTCTGAACAGATCTTTGTGCCCAGCTGGAGCTCAGCGAACGTAAGAGACATCCTCGCCCTAAAGACGCCCGCCCACGCGCCCGGCGCTGCAGTAAGAAGGAAGCGAGACACGGGCATCCCGATGTGTTGTTGGCGTGGAAGTGAATAAAATACTATGAAGATGCACTTCTTCATAGTCAGCTAAGGGGGGAGGTTTTTCCTTCCTTTTTTTCCCTTTCAGTTTTCCTGCCCTATCAAAATTCATGTTAAAATACAGATTCCTTAAAAACTTCTGAGGGGGTGAGCAGACAACTTCTCCTGTAGAGCAGGCGTTCGGAGGAGGGTTTTATGGATGCGTTAGACGTATTACACTATTATCAATTATTTGTGGACATACTGTAATGAATCTGTTAGCCTATTTAGCTAGCTGTTTGAAATACTTCATTGTGGCGCTGCAGTGGGTGTGCTGATGGGGCACGGCCAGGCCAGAGAGCCCTTCACCCGGGGCCTCGCGCTAACTCTTATCCCAATGTCCTTCCCGAGTTTGGGTTTTACTTTTCAGTTTCACATACCCTCTTTATTCATACAGTTATTTACATGAGGAGATGCAAATCAGAGCATTTCCAGATACACCTAGAGGATCTCTACGCACACGTGCACACACCTGTACACTTTGCAATGGCCGTAGCTTAGCTGGAGTCTTGAAAAGCATTTTCAGTTGCAAAATGCAGCTTTGCAGCTCTGTGAGTGTACACACACACTCCTGTGAGTGTGTGTGTATACATATATACGTATATATATACACATATACATGTGCCTCTACCAACCTCAGAAGGTACTGGAGAAATGTGGCACATCCTTTTCTTTTTAATCTTTGTAACACCGCAGAGTTATATCGCAGTTTAATTTCCTCCCCCGTTTATCTGTTTGTATTGTGCTGGTTTCATTTGTGTTTTAATTGCTCCCCCTTCTGCAGTAGCTGCTCAAGTCATATCACTGAATTTTCTTCTTTTCTTTTCTTTTTTTTCTTTTTTTTTTTTTTTCCTGCAAGCAGCTCGCATGCACACACATGGCAAGGAACAAACTGACATCACTTGACATCTCCTTGCTTCCTCATTTCAATATTAACTGCTCACCAGAAGAGAAACGGGTCTGAGGCTAGGGGCTGAGCGTGTGCACGTCTCCCTGTGTGAGCAAGAGCCTTTCTTCCCCTCTGCCCCTTCCCCTCTCCAGGTCATTATACTGAGCTGCCTGAAATTGCCCAATGCTGGTTTTCACCAGTTTGACTGTAGAAGAGCCAGGAGCGTGGATGTGTTTCACTTTCTGCTTGGGCCGGGCTACAGCAACAGCTCTGAAGCTGAGTGCCGCCGCTGCTGCTGCTCTCTTCTGAGAACAAACTTCTTGCTGACAGATTCCTTCCGCTCTGCAAATCGATAATAATGACACAGCTGCAGTTTAAAGATGCGTTTTGGGTAAGTGAGCATCTCCTCAGTATTTCCTGTGTTAAATGTATCTATACTTAAAAATAATTTAAAACACAGCTTACTTTTAAATAGAGTTTAAATCTAATTTAATACTTTTCTATATTTTAAATTTAGTTGAGTAAAAAAAACAAATTTGCCTCCATGCAAAAACATACTGTCTGGGTAGTTTAAGCATTCGGTCTTAAACAGAAGGAAGCTTTGTAAAGGATTATGTCTAATTCACACGAACAACTGACATTCCTAATTTCTAAGCTATGTCCAAACATTGTTTTTGGAAAGGACATGGATTTGTCTGTCTCATTGTCCTAAGAGCGCTTGCTTGCAGCGAGTACCCTCAGTTTTTAGGAGCGGCTCCTCCGAGCAGGTGAACTGCTACCCGTTACTATATAAATTCTCTAGCGTTTGCATGTAGAGTTGAGCAGCACCTGCAAAGGCAACCAGCGATATGCAAAACGTTACTGCTCACCCGTGCCTGCTCTTACATGCAAAAGCATGTGCATGAGGCATTTAGGGTGTGCAGGAGTCCTAGGGCACCATAGGTGGAAAAAACTAGCCGTGAGGTTGAGAATGAAGCCAGAACTCTCAGAACTGGCTTAAAAATGGTGGACACTAAAGCATGCAGATATGCTCGGTTCTTATTTGACTTTCAGTCGAAGCATCTCTGGGTGTCCTGTTTTCGTGCTCTTTCTCTGCGGTTACAAGGGGGGAAAAGCTCTAGTCATTTATCTGGCAAGTATAATCTGAGATTCTCTTGTAGTTGCTTCTGGGGCTGAGGTTTCAAGGGAAAAAACAAAACAAAAAACAAACAAACAAACCCCCCACATGTAGCAAGTTTGGAAATACAGGATGTCCCTTGGTTGCCTCCTGTCTCAACAATCACTTTTCCAACATCAGGGATTGGCATATATATAAAGAGACAAAGGCAGGTGAATTCTTCCTGCCATTTGCCCATCAAGCTAGGTCAAATGGACCCTCCACGGTGCCTGTGCTTTTTGTGCTGTTCTTTCAGCCCACCCTCCCTCCAGGATAAACTCTCTCTTAGTAAAACAGATGGGCAGACCCAAGAACACATTTTGGTAAACCACCTTCCCTCAGACGCTTCCAGGAATCCTCCCTGCCCCCACTATAGTACTAGGTTTGAACAGCTAAAAGTAATGTAATGAGGAAATACCAAATTAGTTTTCATTTAAAAAAAAAAAATTAATGGGTTCATTGATTTTCATTTTCACCACACCTACGGGAGATTCTCCCCACCTGTTCTTCTGCAAGGTTACCAACCACATAGTGAAAAGCACAGCGCAGGGCATAAAACATAACCCCGTTCTACTACAGAAACTTCAGCTTTTGCATTTCTAAACTTACTTCCGAATTGTGCAATCTTACTTTAGAACTGATACATTTTGTATATTTACTGTGTTTAGTCATGTTAGCAAGAGTATAATCCCTTCTTGGCTTTGAAGTGCATATTTTCTTTAAAGGAAAGGATCTTTTTCTCTAATATTGTTTGGCTGAAAACATTCTATTGCCAGGCTTGATTAAGAGGGCATGATGTATCCTGTGTGCTATGATAGTCTTAGCTATGCAATAAAAAGCATTTTAAAATGAAAACTTGCAGGATATTGCACAATGAAGCAAAAGAGTACAGCTTTCCCCCCCAAATCGCAAGCTCAGCAATTATTTTTGCATTCACAAGATTCTGTTGTACCCATTAGCAAGACGGAAACATATTTGCTCAGTTTGCTTTGGTGGGCAATTGTTTCCTTTATTCAATTTGTATCATGAATGGAGACCGTCTTCATGATTAAAAAACAAAAAGTACATTTGCATCATAGTAGATCACTCAAAACAGATGCCTGAGCTCCGAGACCTGCCTGAGGACAACGCTGCACCCCTGCCGGGGACTCACCCTGACTAGGTATTCCTAGGCAACAACCCCCTGCTTTTATTTCAGTAGGCTTTTGGATAGGCAGAAGTAGCTCGGGTACCCGACACAACGTAAGATATGTACGTTTTTGCGGTGAACACAAACACTAAAAGCAGCAGATCTTCCCTGGCTAGCAGAGAAATTGCATCATTAATTCTTCCCCAAAGTCTCTCAAACTTTTTTGAGGACAGGGTGAGCTATCTCTCAGGAGAATGTAAGCCGTTGCTTGTAACTGGTATAATTTTTAATTTCTCTTCCCCCCTACTAAATGTAGCAATGATAGGATTGTGCTAGTGGTGTCACGCTTGTGCTATTTTTTGTTTTACTTTATCAAGTCCTGGGCTAAAACTACTATATTTTTTAATGCCGTTTTCTTAGCTTTTACATCCTCCACACACTCAAGTAATGGTTTAAGGGAAGGTTGCTCAAAGCCTCCAGTAAAATGTGTTTCTTCAGCAGAAGTTTCCTGTCCTCTGACAATATTTCTTTTGAAAATTTTAGGGAGATTAAAATAGGAATCAGTTTTGATAGCCAGTGCAGAGCAATTACTAATGGATTAATATTCTGCTGTGCTGCTGTAAAAATGTAACAGATGTTACCTGTCTTCTCTAACATCCTATTAGACAGCTAGGTAAATTTCCGTATTAATGAGGAGCACGTCTGCGATACCAGCTGAGTTTCACGTTAACAGAGTTATGTTACTAGACAGAGATCTGAGTAACGTTCAATTTACTGTTACAAAAAACAGTAACCAAGATATTTTTTCCCCTTCTGCCATAAATACTGAGGATGTCCTTCCTGCCCTCGTTCCACACTCTGGTACCAGACACACATAACTCTCTCTGGCCAAGGGTTAGATGGGGCCTTTACTGGCATCCTTCAGTGCTTTGTCTTAGCCACCGGGGAAGAAGGAATGAGGAAGGCTTTCAGAGGAGGCATTTGGTTTTTGGGCAGGATCCAAAGTGCTCTGAGTTCAGTGGGAGCAAATCTGTTCCCTTTGGCAGCTTTCAATGAAACTTGAGTGGCCAAGTCAATTCTGAAACCGTGTTATGGGCTCCTAATGCGCTTATGATTAAAAAAAAAAAAGCTGCACAGTGTGAAGTGCTTTTTCTTCCTCAGCTGTGGAATGAGCACAGGACTTGTGGATTTTGAGAGCGCAGATTTAAAAGCACTAGTGAGCTGGAGATATTGGCCAGCAAATAGGACACAGGCCTTGAACCTGAGATAGAAAGATTTAGGTCCTTGTCCTACTGTGGACTTTTCTTCTGACTTTGGTCAAGCTGCATTCCTTACCTCTAAAACAGCAGGATCTTATCTCCTCGAGCACTCTAAGAAAAACTATACCGAAGATTACCAGCAGATACTACAGTAGCGGGAGCTGCATAAGCTCCAAAGATAAACAGCCTGTTATAAACAAAGATGTTTTCTTAATCTCTCTTATTTTGACTTTAGAATATATTCTATGACAGGTTCAACACAAAACCTATTTCACAGGTAAATCTTTCAACTCAATGGTATGTTATACATGGCCCAAAAGATGTAATTAGTGTCATGAAAATTTCACTTCTAGTAAGACGGTAACCTGTGATACAAAAGCACAGAAATGATCATAAAAGATCAATTATAGGTTACAGTAAAACTATTCTTATGACTTACTATGCAATATACCAAAGAAATACAATAATACGAATGTTTTACTTAAAAAAGGATACTTCCTTTTATCTTTGTACTGGGAGCCACCCTGCTTTCACGTAGAGGCTGTGCTAAGTTAAGAACCGTGTATGCAGTTTTGCACGGGCTGTTGTTTTGAACCAGGTCTGTCAGGAGGAAGTGGGCCTGGCAGGTCTGTCGGCAGGGAGGGACCAGGTGCTCGGTTAGGGCTCCTTCCCAGCCTCCGTTTCGGAGGTAGGGCTGAGCTCTGTGAGGGAAGGACATAGTTCCTGAACATTTTTGTGCTGGCATTTAAGCTTTGCAAGAGGATTGCCATTAACTTATGTTTGTATTGGATTCTACCAGTCGTAACCGTATTTACTGAGGTGTGGCAAATTAAAATAAATAATCTTAATGCACACTGGCGTACAGGCAGGCCAGACGCTGTGGTCAATATGTACTGCGTACATGTACTCCATACTCAATATGTAGTCCAGTCTCTGGACTGGAGAAAGTGCAACTAGGGGCCAATCTATGGCTGCGTAGACAACGGCCCTGCTGACATCCAGAGGATGCCATTACTGGTAGATGTGCATGGAAACGGAGAAGAAAGCAGGACCTGACTCTGAGAAGCAGAGCTGACTGTCCAGCTGAAGCCTGTTTGTTGTGAGGTCAACTTCATCCCCATGGAATATACTACTCTGTTCATCTTTTACATGGAATTTCTTGCTACGTTCCCCTGTAATAGGAAATATCTGATCTAGGACGGAAGCTTTGCTCCCTGGGACAGTGAGAAGCACCCTGTGAAGGGGTTTCAAATTTCAGAACAGTCACTGAAACCATGAGAAATCACAAGAAGGAAACTTGATTAGTTGTTGTGGCTATGGAAATACTGGTGTTTTCAGAAATCACTTCTGAGCAGAACACAACAGAGCAGTTAAAATGAAACTCAAGTGAACTAGCACTCCCAGAAGAGATATTAATAGTGAGACAAACACATCAACGGCTATATCAACCTTCCATATTCCTAAAACACCACCTAGGAGGGTGTGTAAGGGACTGAAGTGCAGCACATTTGGGGCAGTTCGCAGAATCACAGAGCAGCCAAGGTTGGAAGGCACCTCTGGGATTGCCTGGCCCAACCCTGTTCAAGCAGGGTCAGCTAGAGCAGGTGGCCCAGGATCATTTCCTTGGTGATGAGCTGAAATGGAAAGACTAGAGTTTTTCTGTTTGCACTTTTGCTTATATCCTCAGTCAGTTACAACTTGCATGTGGCACACCAGGCGT